ATGTATGACTAACCGATATTTAGCCATGAAAATATTCTGTCAACTAATAGTATTGTTTGGACTTTATTTCGGAAAAGTTAAAAAATGGATGCTGTAAAAATGGATGGTATTAAGGAAATGCTGCTCTCTGGTGTCAAAATCAGAAAAATTTCTCTGTTGATGAAAACATTGACGCGAACGTTTTTTAAAATTTACCTACTTAAATTACATTCCAAAACTCCCTCTCTAGGAAAAAATTTTACTCAATGTAGTATAGTATGTGTTATGTGTACTATATATTTCGGAAAGAACGTTTTGAAATGTAGCCTTGGAATTAGTATTATGATATCTCCGTTTATAAGAGAGAAAGTATGAAGAGAAAAACTGAAAACATTTTTTCTATACAAGATATCTTATTTTAATGCAAATAGTGGAATGTCAAAAACGAAGTAACTGATAAAAAATGATTTAAACACAAGTTATAGAATTTTGAGAGGGCCATATGATTATAATATTAATTTATTTGCAAACTTCGTAAATGTTATATTGCTAATATATCTAGAATATATTATTATAAATATATAACCATTGTAATATATTTGCAATATAACTCTACAAATCACAGCATAATATTACACGAGTATCATGAATGCCACAATGTAATATTATGTGTATAAATAAATATTGTAATATGGTTCTGTCAACAATTTTGAATGTATCATTTATATATCGTGCATATTTTAAATACATATTACCGTACATAACATAGAAAAATATGTAAACATTTATATATAAAAATGAAATTACTTAATTGTATATCTACGGTTGAATTGTACTTTCGTTTTTAATTAAATAATTCAAGATTCTAGATATACACATTATAGGGATAATAATCGTATCACCTCTCGTGGGCAGATAGAGTCGATTAAATTGAGTAGAAAAGTTCTTTGTTATTACGAAATTCAAAATAATTGATGAGATATTAATTTGTGATGATTTGTGAATGACTTCGTGTTTGAATAGACAGCCCAGGCTATAACATTATGGGCGTTTTCACAGTTGTTAAACACGCGGTAAGATGTTTGGAGAGTTAAGTACTGTAAACAAATTTCATTTGTAATTATTTGTAAATCTCCACCTCTTTCTAGTAACCTCTACGAGTATGCGTAATGCTGTGTTCCATTCGTGCGAGAACGTTTGCTCCGATTTGTACAAATTTATAACTCATTAATTATTGCAAAAATTTCGTAATGATAGATTACAAGATCAATTAGTTCAACAGGTGTCTTAATTTGTAATATTGCAAGTAACTCATGACTTTATTTCTTCAACGTTTTACTTTTTAATTCAATATTTAAATCTTTTTATGTCTACTATTTTTTTTTAATTTATATAATACTTGAAGAATATAATGATATGACAAATATATTTCTCGTCGAGCTAAGAAATCACATTTATTTAGCTAATTAATAATAATAATAATAATAATAATACCTTAGTTATTTACTATTCAATTATTTATACTATTCAGTTTAAATGGAAAATATATTTAATACCTGGAGCAAAATATAAATAACAAAATAAAAAAAAAAGCAGTTCGCCAAACATTAAACATTTTACGAACAACGGAATAAACGAAAGTAGCATTCATTAATCTTTTAGATCAAGAATATCACGTATAATAGTGTTAAGGAAAAAAGAAAATCTTTGGAAAGAAATATTTGCATACGTCGTAAATTTTAAATAGGTCTTAAATCTTTTTAGCATATGTATCTACGAGGAAGATTAATGACGGTCACATAGAAATTTAGAAAACAATAAAAAAATTGACTTAAAATATTCATGAAATGAAAAAAATTCTTCTAGCTATTTTATCTTTGCGCCATTGTAACTTTACACTTGTCATGTAAAAGAGACGTAACGAGAAACAACAAAAGAAAAAAAGACACAGCATGTTGCTATATTTCTATATTTGTAAAAATTTCACTTAATTTCACTTAGTTAAATCTTAGTCTCTGAAACATTTTTTTTAATGATAATAGTTGTAGAACGCAACTTAATTTCTTAATAAATTATATATCATTATTATAATAGTCATATATTAATAAATCATATTTTATTATCATAGATTTTGTAATCATATATTTATCACTATCATGATGATGTATATATTTTGATATAATAATAACGCTAATAATATGATTCTTCATTATTATTTTCAAAAACAATCAGTTTTGTTACTTAAAATAAGGAATTGCTAATCGCAAAGGCAACATACTTATATTTGAAGAAAGACTCAATGTAATAGCTGGAAGGTGATGAAGTATTTAATGTGCGTTTATTTGCGTTATGCGAGACCTTTAATAAAAATTGTTTATGAATTGGAAGTTAACATTAAATTAAAAATTAAGAAATATATTTTAATATTTCTATAAATTAAATGTGTGTAACATATTTGTTTATATAAAATTAATTTCTTTAAAATTAGCACGTAAGGGAAAGTTTAGTAAATTATAATTATTAATTAAGAGACAGAGGATTATAGTGAGAGAGAGAGAGAGAGAGAGAGAGAGAGAGAGAGAGAAGAG